AAAAGTTTTGGAAAGGAGCTAGCTGAGAAATTGTCAAAGGTCCAAACATTGCCAGTGGGCGGGGAGGCCATATGTGTCCTTGGCCTTTTAGTGGCTATCATGGCAGCTCTCAAGGCCAAAGCCATTGCAGATAAACAGACCGATGGCATCACATTTAGCAGTGATGAGGATACAGATCAGGCTGATAAAACTTCTGAGGTAGCACCTGATTGTGATAAAATTGGTTTGCCAAATACGCAAGAGGGTGGCCACCCCACACCAGAAACTATTGGTTCAAATCCAGAAGAAAGTGGTACAGTTAATGAAAAAGCAGCAAATGATAACTATGGTGGGATATCAAGAGCTTTAGCTGATGGTCTCGAGGACAAGAGTGTAGATCTTTCTGAAAAAGTAAACGCTGAGAACAATGGGACAGGTTCCTCTAGAACACCTGGGGTTGGAGCACCAGATACTGGAACATCGTCACCTTGTCCAGATGATGTTTCACATCTGTGTCCAAAGGAAGATCCTTTTAACCAAAATCGAGACTCAAACACCCATTATCTATTCAGTAGCAGTGATGTCGAAACATGTGGACCACTGGGATCTTCAGTTGATGTCCCACAAGCTGTGGAACCTCAAGGTTCACTTGAGATCTCCTCAAAAGTTGGTACTTTAGGCGCTTTCAAAGATGGCGGACAAGACCCCAATGATGGTAATGCTTACAATCCAGGTTCCTCTGTAGACCATATCATTAGTGAGACGTTTGTAGGTCAAGATCATGTTCCTGATCAGTGGACAGATTGGCCAAACTTCGATAAAGATCCGAATATGCCAACCCCAAAGCTAGAATTGTCCTTCAAGGACACAGAGGAGACCATTAATCGAGATAGACAAATAACAGGCTGCAGTAGTGATGATGAGTCCTTGACCTTCACCTCTCAAATTGACCCAAACAAGGAAACAAGAGAGTCAGATATTGATTGGCTGGACCAAAAGCCAGTCCAGCCACCTGAGGTAGTTCCAGGAGGAGAAGACACCTCTCACAGACCTGTTGACACAAGTTCATTTTCTGTGGCGCTTATCATTCTGATTGTCGCCATCATCATGATGTTGCTCATGCTGCCCTTATGGCTGATATCCATCTTGGTCACAGGCGTGCTGCTTCTTCTGGGTGTATGTCTGTTTATGAACAGGGGACCTTAGTGTCTTCTAGGTGGGCTTTCAGAATCCTCCACTTTGCCCGAACTGGGGTTCTCTTGAAAGCCTACCGCCCCAATTCCCATTAATCATGTCCACCATGCTCCTCCTCAGTTCTGTTTGCCCTTGGAAATACCCGGAGCATGTGACCTTCTTCTTCTTCTTCTCCTCCTTCTTCTCCTGTTTCTCCTCCTCCTTCTTCTCTTTCTTCTTCTCCCCCTCTTTCTTCTTCTCCTTCTTCTCTTTCTTCTTCTCTTTCTTCTTCTCCTCCTTCTTCTCCTTCTCCTCCTTCTTTTCCCCCTCCTTCTCCTCTTTCTTCTTCTCCTCCTTCTTCTCCCCCTCCTTCTCCTCATCCTCCTTCTCCTCCTTCTTCTCTTTCTTCTCCTTCTCTTTCTTCTCCTCCTCCTTCTTCTCCTTCTCCTCCTCCTTCTTCTTCTCCTCCTTGTCCTCCTCATTATCCTTATCCTCCTCCTCCTTCCAATCTACAGGCCCCAACACTGTCACGTGAGGAAGGGGAGAAGGTCATCAACCCTGCGTTAAGCACCAACACTAAGCTCATACAGGGTGTACACCTAAAGGCACGGACAGATGAACGGGGAGCATGAGGAAGAGAAGTATCAGTAGGTTCAGGGGTGGTGGTGGTGGTGAGCTTTCAAGAGAACCTGTCACTTTGTCCATTCAGGTCAGAATGGCTGATTCTCTTTACATAATCTGCAGTTCGTTCAACCTGATCAAGCTTTTAATTCAACTTTCTAGACCAAAGAACCTATCTAGAATGCTGGAATTCAGGCAGCTCATTGTGTGCTCATCAGCGCCACCTAGTGGCCAAATTGTGGAATTTACATTCCATTCAAACTGAAAAGGAAAATCTACTGAGAATGTTCGTTTTTGCCTCTGTTCGCGCAGAAGGAACGTTCGCAGAGACTCGCAGGGTGAATCGCTGTGCGAACTGTTTATAAGTAGACCCCCTGATTGCAGCTACTTTATTCTACATTGTATGTGAAGAACCTTTTTTGTATCAATCTATGAAAATGTGAAGATTGTAATCTGGTGATGGAGCTTTTATAACTTTTGCAATAAACGAGCTATGAGCATTATCTGTTATATCTTCTGATTTCTATTTATCAGCATCGCCATGACTTGTCGTCCTTAAAACGTACACTATATTGCCAAAAGTATTAGGCCCCTCCCCCTCCCAATTATTGGATTTGCGTGTTCCGTGACATTTCCCGGCTACTAAATATTCCGCCGCGGTCACCTGTTACTGGGATTATAACAAAGTGGAAGCAACTGGGAACAACAGCAACTCAGCCAGGAAGTGGTCGGCCACGTAAAATGACAGAGCGGAGTCAGCGCATGCTGAAGCGCACAGCAGAGTCAATAGCTACAGACTCCAAACTTCATGTGGCCTTCAGATTGGCACAACAACAGTGCGTAGAGAGCTTCATGGAATGGGTTTCCATGGCCGAGCAGCTGCATCCAAGCCTTACATCACCAAGTGCAATGCAAAGCGTGGGATGCCGTGGTGTAAAGCACGCCGCCACTGGACTCTAGAGAAGTGGAGACGTGTTCTCTGGAGTGACCAATCACGCTTCTCTGTCTGGCAATCCGATGGGCGTGTCTGGGTTTGGCGGTTGCCGGGGGAACGGTACTTGCCTGACGGCATTGTGCCAAGTGTAAAGTTTGGGGGAGGGGGGGTTATGGGGGGGTTGTTTTTCAGGGGTTGGGCTCCGCCCCTTAGTTCCAGTGAAAGGAACTCTTAAGGCATCAGCACACCAAGACATTTTGGACAACTTTGTGGGAGGAGTTTGGGGACGGCACCTTCCTGTTCGAACATGACTGCGCACCACTGCACAAAGCAAGGCCCATAAAGACATGGATGGGGGAGTTTGGGGTGGAGGAACGTGACTGGCCGCACAGAGTCCTGACCTCAACCCCATAGAACACCTTTGGGATGAATTAGAGCGGAGACTCCGAGCCCCTCCCCCAACATCAGTACCTGACCTCACAAATGGTCCAACATTCCGATAGACACACTCCTAAACCTTGTGGACGCCTTCCCAGAAGAGGCGGAGCTGTTATTGCGGCAAAGGGCGGAGCCAACCCAATACTGAACCCTACGGACTGGGGGGCCATTAGAGTTCATGTGTGTGTAAAGGCGTCCCAATACTTTTGGCAATACAGTGTATCTAAACCCGAGAACAATGTCTATAGGTTGCAGCTTACCTGTCCTCAGACGTGGCGGCTGCATTCGTTTTTTCCAGTACACTTTCTGCGAGTACAGACTGAAATCCAGTGTCCTCGTAACTTCCTGTGTCCTAAACCGAAATGTGAAACGAAAGGTATATCAACTTTGCAAGCTACATTACACAACCCCCCTCCTCCTCCCTGAGGAAGGTATTTGTAGCTCATGATAGCGGGAGGAGCCTGGGGTTGACAACGCTGCTCCTTCGTAGATGCGATACAGTGAGCGTTGTCACCCTAGCACAGGAAGTGAGGTACTGGTTTGTTTAAAAAAGGAAAACCAATGCAGCCGCCACATCTAAGGACCGGGGAGCTGCAATAGGACATTTCTGATTGTTTGGGTTCAGCTATACTCCAGGCAAACAGCTGAATATACAGCTGAAGTACATACAGGTGAAGTGTTTGCTGAAATCGCTCTAAGGTCCCGTGCCCCTCTCCCTTCAGCCGTGGGCACAGGGACCCCCTAGGTCCCGTCACGCTGCTTACATGCGAAAATACGAAAGCTCTATGAATAAGCCCCAGTAGTGGGTGAAACGCGTTGGTGGATGGGGTGTCTCTGGCATGCAAAGGATCAGCAGTGCACGGCTCCACAACTGTCATATGCAAACCATGTAAAAATGTTGTACCTGCCCATAGATAATGCTGTTCAGCCAGACCTGTGATCAAAGCACAGCTGCCACACAGCCCGGGCAGGTCCCTGACCTCCGCTTCAGCATCACAGCTCGGTCAGAAGACGCCCGCAGTTTACTGATTGGACATGGAAGGAGCAGCAAATCACGGACGAGGGTCACCCTTCTACCCCCTGCTTCCCTGTCCCTGACGAATGAATCTACCAGACGGCTCTTAAGGCCGTTTTTAAGCATTTACATAGGTGACAGGTCCACTTTAAAAGCCAACCCGGTCCTCGGCTTCTGTGCGCATCATCGGAAAGTAAAAATGGCTCAAAAATAATATAATTTAATGGACGGAAAGACGAGGAATCCAGACTTTAAAGTGACCCTGTCATCGATAAAGGAAAACATCCCATTGGAAGACACTTCATACTTGCCTGCCCCCGCCCCCTTTTTGTAGGCCGGACGCCATGACAGGTAAGTACAATGTGTCTTCTGTGACAGGAGCTTTTGGTGATTATATTTCCCCATTTCAGTGACAGGTTCACTTTAATTTGCTGCGTAGGTATCGGAAGGACGGAGCGACCGATCGCCAGGCGGCCCGGCATTTTCAGAAGAAGGTCAACGGCGGCCATGTTTGCTTTATGACGGCCACACATATGAGGATCTGATCGAACGATTCTATACGGGACAGTCTGATCAAATCCATTGATGATCCAAAAGACAGATACTGTGTCATTGATCGATTTGATGGACATTATTATGATCTGTTAAGAGGGTTTGGCTATAAAAAAAAAAAATGTGGAGAAATCTGTTATATATATATATATATAGTTTTTTCTTACAGCGCAGCCCTGGGCCCGGCTCCTCCCCTTTCCCCTCCTCCGTCACCTTTTTCCCCCCCAGCCTTTTAAAAATGGCGCCGCCCGCAGCGGCCTCACTGCACTGACCTCTCCGCCGCTCCTCATTGGCCGGCTCGGGATGACGTCGCTGGGCACGCCCCCCTCCTCTCTAGCAGCAGCAACAGTAGTCTGGCAAGGCGGAGTAAAAATGGCTGAAGCGGGAGGAGAGGACAAGGAGCTGGAGGAGCTGCTGGACAGTAAGGAAAGGGCGCCGGGGCGTCACGTGATCAGGAGGGAATGCGGGGTGTCATGGTAAACATGGACTGCTGCTGTGACAGCACCTGTCCTGTTTTGTGTAGGATCTGAGGGAGGGGAGAGGAGGGTTCCTTTAATCTCAGGTGGACTTTAACCCCTCCAGTGCCAGCTGGCACAGGGGCAGCAAGACACTTCATAAAAAAAATCTGCAGATTTGCTTTTGGAGGCCATGCCATACTCAGGATTCAGCTGCCCTTCTATCCACAGAGGG